ACATAATAATATGCAATAAAACAATATACAATATGAGTTGTTAACATGTAGGCTACCTATGAGCTTACTGCATGAATCCGTGAGTACAGTTTACAAACCCGAAGGTACGGTTTACAAAATCTGAGCGCACGGATTGGAAATTCGTGGGTACGGTTTATTAATCCGTGGGCACGATTTGTTAAACCGAGGGAACAGTTTAAGAATTCGTGAGTACGGTTTATAAACTGAGGGGACGGATTGCAAAACCGTCGCCACGGATTGTTTTTTTTTCTCCTACAGGTGACTTCCCGGGCTCCGTAGATGTGAGATCTCAATCATGTTCTTTAAATTTGTCAAGAAATGACAATTCTGTCATCATTTCATCACCCTCATGTTGTTCAAGCCCGCATGACTTTCTGTCTTCAGCACAAAGGAAGGTGTTTAGCAGATCATCAGGGCGTCTGAGACTGAGCTAAACATCTCAGTGTGTGTGAGTCAGAGAGAGGGAGAGTTTCGTGGTCTGTGTTTCTGCTGAACTGACTGTGTTTATTTGCACTCGAACAGCCTGAATAACCCGTTCATCATCACGCGGTCTGTCTGTCCGCGCTGTCGCTCGCAGGATCTGTTGATCTTCACACTGTTTCAGAAGAGCAGTCACACTCATCTGCATCAACAAGTGAAATGTTTGCCGTCTTCTGTTCTCGCTGTCGTTCGCTCTCTTCATCTTTTGCTCAGTGTCGTACGATTATTTAGCACAATATGTCAAGCAGTTGCTCATTTTATACAGAAACACACCCTGAGCACTCTCTCCTGCTCGAAGACTGTTTTTAAATCTTGCTTTATTACCAATGACATTTAATGCATTCATCAGATGTAAATGTTCTTTTCATAGTTTTCAAATAAAGTTGATTAGATAATTGAACTGCGGTTCCTGTTTTATAAAGAAAATAATCCCAGTTATTGGCTAAGTTCATATTTTAAAAACTGTTTCTGGGCTGAAAACTGTCCTTGATTAAAGTCATGTTAACATGTAGGCTACCTAGGAGCTTACTGCATGAATCCGTGAGTACAGTTTACAAACCCGAGGGAACGGATTGCGAAAGCGTGCGCACGGATTATGAATTTGTGGGTACGGATTCAAAAACCGAAGGTACGGTTTACAAAATCTGAGCGCACGGATTGGAAATTCGTGGGTACGGTTTATTAATCCGTGGGCACGATTTGTTAAACCGAGGGAACAGTTTAAGAATTCGTGAGTACGGTTTATAAACTGAGGGGACGGATTGCAAAACCGTCGCCACGGATTGTTTTTTTTTCTCCTACAGGTGACTTCCCGGGCTCCGTAGATGTGAGATCTCAATCATGTTCTTTAAATTTGTCAAGAAATGACAATTCTGTCATCATTTCATCACCCTCATGTTGTTCAAGCCCGCATGACTTTCTGTCTTCAGCACAAAGGAAGGTGTTTAGCAGATCATCAGGGCGTCTGAGACTGAGCTAAACATCTCAGTGTGTGTGAGTCAGAGAGAGGGAGAGTTTCGTGGTCTGTGTTTCTGCTGAACTGACTGTGTTTATTTGCACTCGAACAGCCTGAATAACCCGTTCATCATCACGCGGTCTGTCTGTCCGCGCTGTCGCTCGCAGGATCTGTTGATCTTCACACTGTTTCAGAAGAGCAGTCACACTCATCTGCATCAACAAGTGAAATGTTTGCCGTCTTCTGTTCTCGCTGTCGTTCGCTCTCTTCATCTTTTGCTCAGTGTCGTACGATTATTTAGCACAATATGTCAAGCAGTTGCTCATTTTATACAGAAACACACCCTGAGCACTCTCTCCTGCTCGAAGACTGTTTTTAAATCTTGCTTTATTACCAATGACATTTAATGCATTCATCAGATGTAAATGTTCTTTTCATAGTTTTCAAATAAAGTTGATTAGATAATTGAACTGCGGTTCCTGTTTTATAAAGACAATAATCCCAGTTATTGGCTAAGTTCATATTTTAAAAACTGTTTCTGGGCTGAAAACTGTCCTTGATTAAAGTCATCTGGAGTGTCTGTGTGTGTGTGTGTGTGTTAGTGTTGGGTCGTTCTTGAACGATTCGTTCATTGTGAAAGAATCTTTAATGTGACTCGGGAAAAACGAGTCGTCTCGCTGTCGTTCGCTCTCTTCATCTTTTGCTCAGTGTCGTACGATTATTTAGCACAATATGTCAAGCAGTTGCTCATTTTATACAGAAACACACCCTGAGCACTCTCTCCTGCTCGAAGACTGTTTTTAAATCTTGCTTTATTACCAATGACATTTAATGCATTCATCAGATGTATTCTTTCTTTTCATAGTTTTCAAATAAAGTTGATTAGATAATTGAACTGCGGTTCCTGTTTTATAAAGAGTCCATATTTTAAAAACTGTTTCTGGGCTGAAAACTGTCCTTGATTAAAGTCATCTGGAGTGTCTTTGTGTGTGTGTGTGTGTTCAGGGTGTGGGCGGGTCTCCGGGTGTGGGCGGGTCCCCAGAGGGTCGGGGGCGGGGTTTGAGAGGCGGACTCGCCTGACTCTTGCCCAATCAGAGCAGAGGGGCGTGTCTACATCTGCTGTCCTCGCTGAGTTTCTGTGCGGGAGTTCTGTGTCTGTGACTGAAGACTGCAGCGGTAAGATCATTTCAATCCAATAACTCTACTTCTTTCCATTACAAGAACTGATCTATTAACAGTATAAACCGACCATTTCAACCAGCTTTTATTACAGCTGTATCCAGTATCTGAGATCTTCTGATGAATTGATTGACGATATGAGGAATGTTTTCTATCCATAGCTGAAACGATACAGTTTCTCGAAAAGTCCTATTGGATCATCATGAGTCTGATCACAGAGAGAAAGATGTGACATGAATTCAGAAATTATTTATGGAATATAAAGGTCCTGAATATGTCATTTTATGACATCATTTTAGTTCTACACACGTTTGTTTATAAGTTAATCAGTGTAGTTTGAAGAATGATTGTGTGCATTTAATGTATGTATGTATGTATGTGTGTGTGTGTGTATGTGTGTGTGTGTGTGTGCACCTACTTAACCATATTTTGGGGACAAATTTGTACCCAAAAGTGAACAAAACCTGACAAAATCGCCAAAAACCTCAATTTGGGGACGTCCTCTTTTGTAAAACTGGTATAAAAATAAAGTAAACAAAGTTTTTTGAAATTGTAAAAATGCAGAAAGTTTTCTGTGAGGGGTAGGGGTGGGTTTAGGTTCTGTCTGTATACAAAAACAATAGAAGTCTATGTAATGTCCCCATTTAGAGAGCTAAGTAAACGTGTGTGTGTGTGTGTGTGTGTTTGTACCTACTTAATCATATTTCAGAGACAAATGTGTACTCAGAAGTGAGCTAAACCTGATAAAACCTCCTTTTGGGCACGCCCTCATTTGTAAAATTGGTATAAAATGAGGTAAATAAAGTTCTTTTTAATTGTAAAAATGCAGAAGGTTTTCTGTTAGGCTGAGGTTGTAGTTTTTATAACTAGCTGTGTATAAGAACAATAGCATTCAGAGAGCTAAGTGAGCGTCATCATTCTCTGTGTTTCTGCTCTGAACACTCATTGTTTCTCACGCTGATGGCATTCGCTGTCAGGATTCTCCTTCAGTCTGGACTGAGTCAGTGATTGTTTTCTAGATGGAGCTGTCTGGCGCTCATGATGGACGATCTCAGTCTGACCCTGTTCAAGCGTCTCAGGGTGATGATGATTCGGGATCGTTTGGGGTGAAAGTCCAGGTCCAGGGCATAGCCGGCCGGCCGTACGTGGTCCTGAACGCTCAGGGGAGGTGCGCACCATGTTCTCCGGAGTATCCCGACGTCTTCCTCACCGACCATCAGCGGCAGGAGTTTGTGTCCAATATGAGCGGCAGCGCTTCAAGCACTCAAACTCCTCGACCGGATCATTACAGATCTCTGAGAGCCTTCAAGAACCCGTCGGCCCAGCTGCTGAACTACCAGAGGAAGCCTGAGATCTTGAGAGCCTGCGATCCCAGAAACCACCGCGGCTGGTGCAGCAGCCCTTCCTCGCCCGCGATGGTGAAGAGAGCCAGGATCCCCGTGCCGGGAGTCCAGGAGCCGTCGGTGGAGAGCGTCCCCTACCAGCCGTCTCATATCATCTGCAGGATGTCTGGAGCCGCCTCAGAGATACACGACACCAGGACGGACCGCGCAGGATCCCCTCGGACCGGCCGAGTCGCTCACCGCAGCAGAATCGGACCCGAGGAGAAGAGGTGCTCCAGAAGTCTGGAGTCCAGATCGGACGGGACAGGGATTGGAACGGAAGTCGGCGGCTTCACGCAGACAGATGTGTCAGAGGTCACAGGGGTCAGAGCCACATCTGCAGGGCAGCAGGAGAGGTCAGAGGTCAAAGAAGAGAACGGAAGCGGACAGGTAGAGACGACACAAACACACACACGAGTCATTTGATTGTGTTCGATTCATCTGAACTGATTCATGAGTCATTATGTCACGTGTCTCTAAGGCCACACCTGATCTTCTGAAAGGGCAGCGAGAGCTTCCGGATCAGCCCGATGAGGAAACCGCTAAACTGGTGATGGTTAACTACCTGAAAGATGGGTGAGAACGAACCGTAGATCCTGTTCATTCAGCTGCTTTAGTGTGTGAGTGTGTTTTATGTACATGAGAAACACATGTTATTCTCTGAAATCAAATACTGTAGAATACGAATATGGTAATCATTCAGCATTATGCTACATGCCATATATTAGATATTATGATAAAAAAGTCTCATGCTTTCCTGGAATCTCTTGATGAACGTCCCAGAAAGCACTGCTCCTCCTCATTCTTCTCATAGTGACGTGTTTGTTCAGCTGGATGACTGTAGATGCGCTTCAGACTCTGTTCGTCTTCCATCTCAGCACATCAGATGAACCTGAAGGAGAACTGAGTTTAATCCTGATCCTGAGGAACCAGAGCAATGATTTTGAACTAAAACCGGTAGTTCAGCTGAATCGCCATTATTTACTCGCCCTCATGTCGCTCCAAACCTGCATGACTTTATTTGTTCTGCCTCAGAAGAAATAAACACAGATGTGTGCTGAAGCTCCAGAAAAAGTGTCACTGCAGCTCTTCCAAAGTCATACGAGCTTTCTGTCACTCAAATGAAGTTATTATTCAGCTGGTTTGGAGCGATGCGTGAGTAAATACTGGTGTAAGTGATTGATTGATGCAGATCAGACTGCCGTGACTTTAGCTGTGTCTCTGCGGCTGGTTTCCCTCAGGTCCTGTGAGGGTGAAGCCGTTATCAGGCAGAAGGTGGAGCTGATGTTTGACAAGATCCACATGCTGAAGTTCACAACGCTGGAGGAGGTGAGCGGACATTTACCACAGTAACCCTGAGCTTCCATCAAAGTACCGTAGTACATCAAACTGCAGCTGTTCTTACTGAATTCGGGATCTGCTGCAAACTGTGTTTGTTTCTTGTTTTGAAAAACTAACTTTCCACAGTTTCATTGTAGTAACTATAACTGCTGGTACTTGGACACTAGTATGGAGGCATTTAACAGACTACATTAAATAAAAATATATTGAAATCATTAAAAACATAATGGCATATTGCAATAAGTATGATTAAATGTAAGCATGAATTTAAAAAAAGGTGTGAAATACATTTATTTATTTATGAAAATTGAAAAAGGACATGAAAGAAATCAATATATAATAAAATGTTGTAATCAATACATTTAAGCATAATTAAATATATTTGCATTTCATTGTACTTTATTTCATCATGCCATGACATATTTTAAAGTTTCATGTAATTTAAATTTCTCCGTACACTAGTCCTGTGGTTATCGTTTGTGAGTTGTTCCAGTAATCGCTGCTTGACTGATTTGTGTGTGTTGAATAGTTTGAGTTTGCAGCTCCTCTGGAGGAGGTGAACGATCTTAAAGACAGAAGGGCGGCGCTAGAGAGACACGTCAGTCACTTACAGCAGCAGCTGCAGGAAGCCCAGCAGGTGATTGGATCAGATATCAGACAATCAGTCAGTTTGTGTCCCGTCTGACATCATTCGTGTCTCTGCAGAACAACGAGAGTTTGTCTGAGCAGAAAGAGGAGAGAAACACCGAGCTGAAGAGACTGCAGGAGACACTAGAGAGGAGCGAACAGGAGCAGATCATAGTCCGCCATAAACTCACCGACATGGAGAAAGAGCTGCAGACCTCACTGGACCAGTGAGTAGAGATTCGGTGTTGTCACACGTCGATTAACCGGTGGGAAAATTTCCTCACCGTCACAACCTTACTGTCTGTCCGTCTGTCCATCTGCCTGTCTGTCTGTCTGTCCATCCCTCTGTCTGTCCATCTGTCCATCAATCTGTCTCTGTCCATCTGTCTGTCTGTCTGTCCATCTCTCTGTCTGTGTGTCTGTCTGTCTGTCTGTCTGTCCGTCTGTCCATCCATCGTCTGCCTGTCCTTCTGTCTATCTCTCTGTCTGTCCGTCTGTCCATTTGTCTGTCTATCCGTCTGTCTGTCTGTCCATCTGTCTGTCTGTCTCTGTCTATCTCTCTGTCCATTTGTCTGTCTGTCTGTCCGTCTGTCTGTCCATCTGTCTGTCTGTCTCTGTCTATCTCTTTGTCTGTCCGTCTGTCCATTTGTCTGTCCGTCTGTCTGTCCATCTGTCTGTCTGTCTCTGTCTATCTCTCTGTCTGTCTGTCTATCGATCTATTATGTCTGTC